ATTTTTTTTTAAATAACCGAATGAATCGTCCTATCGATAACCCTAATGTTACTTCTACTCTGTTTATTTTTACTTAAATTTAGAAAGATATGCTTCATTTCTACCCTCAATCTTATCGCTACATTTATTTGCTATTTAAAATTGAAATTAAAAAGACAAATGACAAATAAGTTTCTATATTAGCTCACTTATGAGCAAAATATATTATAACAATCTTTACTATTTTTATAACAATACATAAACTATACTCCCTCCGTCCCATATTAGATGGGCACTTCCAACTTTACACGGTGATTAAGAAATCATTAATACATTGGAAGACTTCACCATTTTGCCCTTTCTTTATATCAATGCACATTGAAATAAGTTACAAAAAATACACACACAATATAGAAATGGTCATATTAATTGTAGGGGTAAAATGGAAAAGAATTAATTAATTCTATCCTAATTTAATAAGTGCTCAAATAATATGAAAAATAAAAATTTAGTAAGATTCTCATCTAATATGGGACGGAGAGAATAACAATATAACTTTATTAATGTTGGGCCCGGGCAGCGCCCGGGCTTTCGTTACTAGTATATATATAAAAACCAAAAATTCTTAAACAACTTGTTGTATGCTATATTTGTGGATATGTCTTGATGTAGATATGCTGAGTCAATTAAAATATATTTTATATTTTGGGTGGTGATGATAATTCATTAAATTATTGAATCTAATAATTGGGAGTTGTATATTCTCTTTAAACCAAAGAAAATGACTGTTTTGTTATTTAGAAAGTCAATTGCTATATTTTTAAAAAATATTTTTATTTATTTATAATATCTCTATACTTTTTTCTAGGTATTTTTATTAGAATTAGAAATTAAATATGTCAAACTCTGCTAGCTACTTTAACTTTGTTTTTGTTAGACGCACTCAATGAACACCAAATTAATCAATATATGCATAATATAACATTTGTTCTTACAATATCAACTTTTAACACTTAATCATACCATTAATTACTTAATTAATTAAGTTGATGTGACACATTTTTATTTTTAATACATTTCAAGAAGAAGAATATACCTCTAAATTCTGAAATAATTAACTTTATTTACCTCAATAATTTTTTATATAATAAAAAAATATTATGACATTCTCAACACCATGATCTACATAAAAACAGATTACTTATTCTTCTACATAAAAAATACATAAATTAAAATAGAAAAGTAATAAATATTTTTTTTAATCTTTATTTATCATTTAATTATGATTATACAATTTGATGTAAAAATATGGACGAAAAATATGAAGTGGGTATATACCAATTGACATAAAAATATTGATATGATGTCGCCTCAGTGGTCACCCAATAAACTATTTTTAATAGTTAATATTTAATACTCAATCCGTTCATTTTTATTTGTTATTTTGCGGTTTTCAAAAGTTAATTTGACTAATTTTTAAAGTTAAATTAGATTACATTAATTCGATATTTTAAGCAAAAAATTTAGATATTCAAAAACTATACGAAAAATACTAAAAATTGCAAGTTTTTGTATATTAATATGATAAAAAAATACATCATAAAATATTAATCAAAATTCTTAATTTGACTCTAAAAAAGAAAACCATTACAATTAAAAGAAAACGAATAGAGTATTTAAGACTGCGGATGAGATGTTCTCCATAATGTAATGTCTAGAACTTAGATCCAATAATGAATTATTCTACAGTATTGATAGCAACAGGATATTCTTATTCCATTTTGTGTTGGATAATATCTTTTTTTTATATATATATAAAAATAAATGAATAAATAAATAAAGGATGTGTATAGAAAAAAAGGAACTTACAGAAATCTTATTAGTTTAAGGGAAAAGGGTCTGATATACCTCTCAACTTTGCCATTTGGAGCTCATATGCCCATCGTTATGAAAGTGACTCATATATACCCTTACCGTTATACAAACGGCTCACATATACCCCTACCGTTATAAAATGAGCTCACATATACCCTTAATTTAACGGAAGTGAAAAAAAAGTATTAAATTTATGTTTTTGACTTTTAAATTTAAAAAAAATCATGTAGAGGTATATATGATCCTTCTAGCGAATTTCAAGGTATATTTTAATCTTATTTATACATAAATTATTTTTTGACGTCTTTGATTATCAGTTTTTGAGTTTCTTATTCTTGTTTTATTTTTTTCTTTTGTTCGTTAGTGTAAAGAGAAAATTTTAAAACTAATTTTTTTTATATTAGCAAAACTTAAATAAATTTGACCATCAAAATAATAACTTTAAATTAGTCGTTGAAACAAAACAAGTAAAAAAAAATTATGTGTGAGGAGGATTAAATATACTCATATGAGATTATATTTTTTTTAAAATAATAATAATTAAAATATTAAATTAAAATTAATTTTTTCACTTCCGTTAAAGGAAAAGGGTATATGTGAGCCATTTGTATAGCAAGCAATAGGGGCATATATGAGCCACTTTTATAATGAGGGGTATATCAACTCTAATTGATAAAGTTGAGGGGTATATCAGGCCCTTTTCCCTTAGTTTAATTAGGACTTTATTATTTGGATACCCTCTAATTTATAATACACAAATCTTATCAAATTTTGGTGCGTCTAGATACATTCAAATATATGTATCTCGGAATACATGAAATTAAAATTAGGTGTAATTTTGTTCTAGATACACTGTATTCAAGTAGATTCACATGTATCTGTGATATATAGACAAATCTCACTCGCCTCCCTTCCATCTCGCTCGCCACTCTTCTGTTCATCTAGTATCACAAATACATACATACACATGTATCTAGTGTAATTTGAATGTATTTGGGATATATCTCTATCTCCTCCCCATATCGCTCGCCTCCCTCCTCATCTCGCTCGCCTCTCTCCCTACTTCAATGCATCTGATAGCAAATATACATGTATCTAAGTGTATTTTTAATAGAAAACTCTTAATCAGTGGTAAGATACGTACGCAATTATTTAAAAATATAGATAGAATTAGTATATATAATATAAATGTATGCCTAATAAGATAATTTTCCCAAAAAATACTAGGTGAAAGAATAAATGATCATCAATTAACTAAACTACTATGATTTCACTTATCAAATAATATCACTAGAAAGAAGAAACCATAGATTATACTAATATTTTCTTCTCCACCCTTTCTTGGTGGGAAGTGATGTTGCTTTTGTGATGACTTATGTCTCACACTCTTTCTTTCTTTTAACTAAACATTAACAACCTTATCCTTGGCACTCACTTCACTTCTCTTACCTTGTTTTCTTCATAATGCTAATCTACAAGATTCTCATACCTGCTCAACATATTCATAAACATAGTCTACTATTTATATTTCTGAGAGTTAGTAGTAAGGTCTGTGTATTAGGTATATTTTGTTACTTTTAGAATTTACTTTTTAGAATCTCATTAGATTGGTTGTTATTGTTATTGTAGTCTAGTATGTATATTTGTTATGGTTATCGAGGGGAAGTTAAGATTTTAAGTTCTATTAAAGGTAACTTATTGAGTTTTAGATAAAATATTTATAAGATATAAATAAAATTTCTGAATTTTATCAATTTCTTTAACAAAATTATAACTCGTCTTTAATAGCCACATAAAAAAGAATTATAAGTTTGTCTCCGATGACAAGTGAAAATATAATTTCATCTCCGATAACCTCATAATCAGAATTATAACTTTGCCTCTAGTGACTCAATACATTCACATTTTCTGAAATATGAAGACATAATAAAATTTAAAGTATTTTAATCACTTATTGAATTTTAGATAAATTATTAAAGATCGTTTATTGTCTATAATAATGTTTATGTTTCGTCCACACAAATTAATGTATATAATTTTAATTTTTTTTCTTAAAAAGAATTTGTCCATTTTAGCTCTAAAAGATAATATTATTGTACATTGATGATAAGATAAATTAAAGGCGCGTTTGCATATGTTTTTTTTTTTTACTAAAAGAGTTTCAAAACAACATTTAATTATACATTCAAATCACTATAAATAAGAACAAGAAAAAAAAAGCAATTATTTTTTTATCACATAGAGCAAATAAAATACACTGATATCATGAAATCCAAGTGTGAAAAGAGAAGATTTTAAAAGTATCCTCCAATACCATGGGTCTTGGAATTTTGTGTAATAGTAATATTGTCAGCTTCCACTTTTGTTCTTATACTTGTCATAATAATTTCAGTTACTTCAATTTGTCAGTTTCTTTGTTCAATTTCACTACCAAAATGGACTCAATACACACAAAAAAAAAAAACTCCAATTTTGATTCTTGAACAAGTGGACAACTAAATTGATCAAAGATTTCAACTTTTCTTCTTCTTGATTGTTTTCCCCTCTTTTAGTTTTCTTGGACTAGAGGAATGGTTATCAGTGGTGTGAAAGCATCTTCAGTAGCTATGGTTTCTATAGACATTTGCAGCAGGTAATTTTTTTTTTTGTTTTTAAATTCAAGAATTGCATTTGGGTTTTGTTGGATTTTGGTTCCTGTTTTGATTTATCAGGAAAAGATTCAATCTTTTTTTGTTTTGCTAATGGTTTCTTTAGAAGGGTGTTTGATGAATTTTGGTTCTTGTTTTGATAAAGTGAAGAAAAATGTGAGTTTTTTTTGTTTTCTTTAGAAGGGTGTTTGATGAATTTTGATTTATCTAGGAAAAAATGCAAGCTTTTTTTCTTCTTTGTTTGGTTTCTTTAGAAGGGTGTTTACTGAATTTTGGTTCTTGTTTTGATATATAAAGAAAAATGTGAACTTTTTAAATTCTTTTCTGTTTGCTTTCTTTAGAAGGGTGTTTGTTGAATTTTGGTCCTTGTTTTGACTAATCAGTAAAAATATGAGCTTTTCTTTCTCTTCTTTAGAAGGGTGTTTGTTGAATTTTGATTCTTGTTTTGACTTATTATGAAAAATGTGAGCTTTTTTTTCTCTTCTGTTTGGTTTCTTTAGAAGGGTGTTTGATGAATTTTGATTCTTGTTTTGATTTATCAGGAAAAAATGTGAGCTTTATTTCTTCTATTTCTGGTTTCTTTAGAAAGGTGTTTGTTGAAATTTGATTCTTGTTTTGATTTATCAAGAAAAATGTGAGCTTTATTTCTTTTCTTTTTGGTTTCTTTAAAATGATGTTTGTTGAATTTTGGTTCTTGTTTTGATTTATCAAGAAAAATGTGACCTTTAGAAGGGTGTTTGTTGAATTTTGATTCTTGTTTTGATTTATCTGGAAAAATGTGAGCTTTAGAAGGTTGTTTGATGGACTGTTTTTTTTTTGTTGTTGTTGATTGTACTTTGTTTATGTAAAGTTATTTGTGGATTGGAGAAGAATTTCTCCTAGTACTAGGCGAAAATTCCCAAACCCTTTATTCTGTAGGATCATCAGGTGTGATTTTGATGGTCGCGTTGGATGTTGGATTGGGAATGAGAAAGGAAAATGGAACAAACTGGCTGCTGCTGCTGCAAGTACAAAGGCACCTAAATTGGGAATGAGCATTTCACCTTTGCCTTCCTCTGCTGCTCTAGCAGAAACCCGATGGTCCTCACGAGCCAAGTTCTATAAGGAGGTTTGGGACTATATTTCTTGTTATATGCTGCTTTATAGAACAATTCTTGCTGTCCAAATGATGATTTGATAGTTTAATCAGTGAATAGAGATACTTTCTTCTGTTCTATTTTATGGGACACCCTTTCCGTTTTAGCCTGTTAAAAGATGAATGACACCTTTCTGTATTTGGAAACCTTACTGTCAGCGACATGTTCTTTTCGCCATATAAATGTCACGACATGTTTAAGAGCACAAGTTTTAAGATCTTTCTGGTCTTAATGTGCCCAGTCAAACACCACCATGTAAGAATGAAATGCAGCGAGTATATAATAGGCCTATTTTTGTTTGTCTATTGGAGTATCTCGGTCTAAATTTTGATCATTGATTGAGATTTTGCGATTTGGCAGGTTTTGAAAGATGCTAGGGAAAAGTTTACACAGGAGATATCATTTCAGTCCAAGGACAAAGATATATCCCTGGCAAAGGTAGTAATTTGTCTTGCTAAGCTCTTTTCGTACAATGCAGTTGATCTGTTGGTTTGAATATAACCACTTTCTTGGTTTCAAGGGACAGAAATGAAGTGGCTGTTTGTTTTTGGAATGTTCTGTCCTTAAATAATTTCCGGCGTTGTCGTTTTTCTTTTAGATAAATGCAAATAAGTAAAAAATTGTTTGTATATGAACGGAGGCGTTCAGCATACGAGTTAAACCATCATTTCGCAAGTAACGTGCATGTTTCATCCGTTTTTTTACTTGTATTAATTGCATTCTTCATTTGGTTGTTTTGTTGTTTTCTATTATTCGGGTTAGGCTTTACTCTACGTTGCTTCTGAAGACGAGGCATTTATGGATTTCAACCGGGAAATGGATTCTTATTCACTCCAAAATGAACGAAGATCTACTTCACTGCCATCTGATACGCTAGACTGGAAGTGCGTAGAAGCCACGCCTCTGGCTGGAAAGAATATGAGTGAGTGGATGGCCGAGTTAGATTCCATTGCAAGGGAAGTTGAGGCAGAGCTAGTTCCGAGAGATATAGGATGCCATTTGGTTGAAGTTTTGGATGCAGTGAACGTTGTTCTTTTTAAGTCGAGGGGTTTCAAAAGGTCATCCGTGATAGTGGACTCAAAATGTTCATACCTGCATTCAGTGTTAAGCTCTGGATATTGTAGCGGTATATCTTAAAATTTGTCTCACCAATATCCTCGTTATTTTGCGTATTTCTTAAGCCTCATGAAATTCAGAATTCTTTCGTGATTGCTTCATTTTTATTAATGTAATCTGACATGCTGTTTAACTTATGTACAGCAATTTTGCTTAGCGTCATTTACATCGAAGTTTGTCGAAGACTTAATCTAACCATTGTGGGATCTCGAATTGGAGAAGAATTCTTGATATGGCCCCAAACCGGAAACCCTGAGGTATGTTGATCTGAGCAAATGGATGTTTTGATCTTTTCGTTGGCATGTCCATATACTACTTCTGGTATATTCCTTCAGAATTTACGTTAATCTCTAGTCTCATTGAGTTGGTATGTCTACATTTGCAACTGTTGTAGGAGCTATTCAAGGTTACTTCTGGTCACAGCTTGTTTGGTATTGTTAACGGGAAGTGCGTTGATGACCCTAGATCAATGGCCTCGGACATCAATAGCAATTCACTGTTGGAGCTTGAGATTGCAACAAACCGAGATATTATCGGAATTGCTTTGGCTAATCTCATGGTGAGTTTTGTTCTTCTAAAAGGTAGAGTCTGTTGGACGTTTTAACCTTGTATCTATACATCTCATGGTGTTATTTATGAATATTAATGTCGCCATTCATAGATTTGGCAAAATAGTTCTTTTTCCTAAACTAAAACTAAACTGAACTAAATGAAGTGAAGTTCACTGAAATAGTGTACTCGTACTATTACTATAAAGAAAAGAAGAACGGGATGAATTGGACAAATACACAGAACCCCTTCTATTATATGTATTATCCTTTCCTGACATAATCGGAGGTTCCTACACAGAGGATTCATTGGAAACGTGCGTCAAGAGCAAATCATGGTTTGATGCTGACTTCTCCACTTAGGTCTGTGGATAAGTCTGACGAGAAGTTTAAGAAGACCGATGCTTCAACTGTACCTTTGCTGAGGCCTCAAGATTTGAGGTAAAGATAATATACTCTAATTGTGTCTTTGTTACTACCGCTGGTTCCCGTTCCTGATTAAGCAGGCCACTTTGTGTTGTCCCTACAGGTTCAAGATGCTAATATGCAACATTTGGCATGAGAAAAGGAGAACCGCGAATAATTTTGGCTACATTATTATTCTTATTGATTCTAACTTCCTACAAAAAAAAAAAAACTTGATCTACTATGCTGCAATATTGCATGAGTTTTAATTCCTCCATCTGGTTTTTTAGTTAGTCAAGCATAATTAGGTTCCCAGAACTTTCTCATTTATAGCACCATTTGGTTTGACAAAGTGCTTTCCATATCTAAACTCGGTGGTCTATCTGAATATCTGTGTTGCTCGGACTCTCCAAAAATGTTGTCGCACCTGTGTCTGATTCTCCAAAACTGCACTTCTTTTGGAGGATCCAGCATATTCACCCGTTGATATTTCTTTGGTCTGCCAAATATGTCTAACTTGCTCTGATCTTTAGATATGATCGTTAAGAATGAAATCTTTCGAGTTCTCATCAGTGTTATATCCATGTCCATTTCTGCATCCTAGTATTTCGATAGTTTGTTTTCATCAAACATGGGATTACCTCGACTTGGCATTTGATTATCATCTCTAGTGCATTAACTTTTTATCCGAAATGTAGAAACATGCTTGACAACATTTCTCAGGTGTTTGTTTTATTAGTTTAGGCTAGTAAGAACGTCTTTTTTCAGTAGAAGTTTTGACCTTAGCTATCGAGGTATTAATTTTTGTGTGCAATATATTTCTCGCTTGTAATGACAATATGTCTGGGATGGTACCAACTTTCTAGGCTGGCTATTATGGCTTCGCAAAGATTGCTGATTCTGCAGCCACACAATTGGGCTCTGAGGAGAGACCACGGCATGATGTTGTACTATAGCAGGTAAACAATGACACTCGAATGAAATATAACCGTTTCTGTTCTTTTCCTCGTTTTTGCTGAAACATTTCATGCTATGAACAAATTTTGACAAATGAACAAATATCCAGGGAATACGAGGAGGCGGTCCAGGAGCTTAGCATTTGCATGGTCTTTGCACCAGAAGAAGAGGCTGAAGTTCTAGAGGCATTTGTTGAGAAGTTACACCTACTACGGCTTGAGTCATCATGGAAGAATCTGGAACGTAAAGGTCGGTTAACAGTTACTTGACTTGTTTGTTCCAAAAACTTGTGCTCTTTCTAGCTTGTTATAAGAATATAACCTATAGAACTTTAGCTGTAATAACCTCCTTTTTTGACTTGTGTATATAGTTTCCTTGTTTCGAAAATGAGATGAATGACATAACTTGAGAAGCTCAACGCTATATGTATGAGCGAAAAAAACGAGTACAAGTGGTGTTAGATATACATTTTTAGAACCCACTAGATACTCGTAGTATCTAATTCTTGATCCGCCACTGCCTACTGGTGCTCATTTGGTCATTTCTCATGCCAGAAGAGGACTGTGACATTATTGTTGTATCTTCAAGCTGAGTATAGTGCTTAGACTAGGACTCGTGGTCTATGTTGCTCGGATCCTCCGAGAAGTTGTTGCATCTGTGTCAGATCCTGTAAAAATCCATATAAACTTCAATATCTTCAATTTATAGAAGTTCAAATTTTTCCCTCCAACAAAACGGTTAGTTTTCCTTTTCAATGTAAAACATAATCGTAGTAAAATTCAAATATATAAGGTAGAAAATTCAGGACAAATCATAACATGTTTATTGTTATTTAATTAGCTATTTAACTATTTAATGCAGCTAATTAAACAAGCTTATGGCTGATTTTGAGGATTATAGATGGAAAATAATTTGTTGCTTAAGTAAGCACATAAGCTAATTGTAGCTTTGCTTATCTAAGCTATAAAAGTTGATAAGCTTTACCAAGAATCATATATTAAAATAATCCGATAATAATGATATATTATTAATTTTTTAAATTAATATAGATACCAATTATTGTTATTTTCCATCATAGAATCATTCTAATTGTTTAGAATTTCTTCTACTAATGTCCTAATCCATGGTGTGTCATCATTCTTGAATCTTTTGATTATGATTTGAACTAATGGGTTAGGTAATTGGGTTGATAATGACTTTAATGATGTGGACATTGAAGTTGTTTTCCTAATTTGGTTTATTTATTTACATTATTAGCTGGAGTTGGAGATAAGATTGACAAGTCCGCGACTCCCCCACCCCCCTCCCTCTCCCTCTCCTGGAGAACAACGATGGCTTGTGGTGGATTATTGTTGATCCATAGGGAGAGAGGGTCTAAGGGGGCGGGTGTACAAATAGATTGCGATCAAGAATGTGATCTAGTGGTTAGTGAAGGGAATGCAAACTTAGGAGATCAAAGTTTAGATTCTAATAGGGAAAAAAAGAGGAAGAAGATGCTTTTTCTTTGGTTATTTTGATGTTAGGGGTGTATCGGTAACAATCTAGATTCTGGAAGGATAAAGTCGTATACACTGCTCTCTCTTGACTTCACTAGTGAAATCTGAACAATGTTTAACTCAAGTCTAATATTGGTAATATGTCGTTCAACTATACAAACAAAATATTTGAGCGTCGTCTAATATTTGCAATAATGAACTTACAAAATGATCTAACGTTTTTTCATAAAATTTTCAATTTAGCACAAAAGAAAAATTTAGATTGCGATCTAAAAGATTAATGAGTTTAAAGATAAATGAAAAAGAGAATCATATATTAAATAGTTATCTAAAAAGGGGATAATTGATAAAATAATTTATGAAACGTATAAAATAAATTTTAAATTAAAAGGTTTTAACAAAGAAAAGATCAAATTAGATAATTGAATGAAGATACGTACAAGTTACAACTTTAACAACTTCTAGATAACCAAAAATTATTTTCAAACTACATAAATATAAATAGTTAGGTAGCAATAATTGTTTTAATTTAATAGATAGTAGAGCTTTTCAATTTTTATCAAGGAAAAGGGCAAAATAGAATTTGGTGTCACTTAATTAGGTTAATTTACAAAGTTAGTTGGACGTTAGGTATAAATTCACTCTTTTTGTCATGTTAATTAACTCCAAATATGACGGATTAATCAATGTAGGACTTTTTTTTTCAAAAAAAATTATTGATTATCAATCTAGCGCAATCCTGTTTTATATTGTCAATTAATAAGAAAACGATCGAGAGGGGGCCAAAAGACCGTATAAACAAAACCCTAATTAAAATAAATGGGATTTATTTTCTTGATTTTTTTTTTTTGGTTCTATTCTCAACACGAAAAAAGATTCATAGATTATTAATATGCATGCACTCATTAATGTGAAACTTCATTGTCACGAGATCTTAGACTTCACAAGTAAAGCGTCAAGATAATAGTTTAGAAATTCTTCTAGTAAAATTTGAAACTTCGTGTTCAAAGTTATTTCTCAAAAATAGAATCGAAACTAACTAATGATGTGCATTTTCTACTGTTGTGTCGTAATTGTCCTATCTTTAGAAAAATCATTTTTTTAAAAATATTCTAAGTATAAAACAATTGGAGAAGAATACTTAGAAAAGAGTCGCCACTTAATTTTTTAAAGAAATCAAGAAAACTTATAATTTTCAAAGATTTAAACAGAAAAAATCATTTGAAAATACCAAAGAGGGTTCGGGGTTCAATTTACACTTCGAGAAGGGTTTAAGCATTCGAAGTGTCCGCTAACATGCGGTTGACCTGCGACTTGACTAAAATGTATATTTTTGACTATTTTTTAGGAAAAAATGTGATTTAACATAAGAATAATAATTTACAATATTTGGCTAACTTTGAGAAAAAATAGTTAAATAAATGACATGCTTTTATTATTATTATTTTTTAGAGAAAGGTATCCAAAATAAAACATTTGAGTCGAAATACAAATGATTAGAATATTAATAAACCTAGATTAATTAGAATTTCTTTAATCCATTTTCGAAATAAATAATTTAAGCCAATTTAATAAAATTAAGCATGAAAATCATTTTTTAATTAATTGAAGAAATGAAAGCAAAGTTTTGACTAATCCTTTTTTGAGAAAATGACCAAGTAAAGAATATATATATAAACATTTATATATATTATTTTTTTTAGTTTACTTGAGGAATAAATACTTTGACCTTTAAACCAATTTTAAACGAGTAAAAAGTGATTGAATGGGAGACATTAAAGAATATGTTGTTGTTTTATTTTTTTTATTTTTATTTTTTTAGAACAAAAGATTTAACTTAAAACTGTATAATTTGGCCAACATATTTAATTAATAAAATAGATAAAATAAATATTAAAAGTTAACCAACACAAAGGAAATAGCTTATCTTTTGGGGAATCTAATTAAGTTAATTAAAAATTATAATGTTAGAGTTAAATAACAAACAATAAATAATCACAATTAAATAATTAAAGAGTAAGAGAGAAATTGAATTTGGGCCTCCTTTGGGCCAATTTCGCTGGATTTTTTGGGTTTTAACCCAATCCCATTTTTGGTATACGGTGGATGTATATCAGTGTATATCGGCATGTATATCAGCCCCTTTCAGGTATCTCTTGCTTCCGAACACCTATATTTCACCTTAGCCCTGTATTTTTGCGTTTTTGACCTGTAATTCGCTGTTCTTTCTATATATATTTGTGTATACACTTGGTAGTACCCTCTTTTGGATTTTTGGGATCCAAAGATTCGGTTTTCAGCCCTTTTACTGCTTTCCACCTGTTCGTCAATTTCTTTCACTCGGAAATGAGGTTGACTCGATCGAGAAAATGCAATTGGGCCTCTAAGGCCCAATCAATGAAATGCAAGGAAGATGGGTTTCCAAGGACTCGGAGGGGCCGGTTCATACATAGAAAGGAACAAACGAGATAGAAATTAGTAATGGAGCACACATTAATTCTATGCAACACAACCAAGATACATAAAATAGAACTAAGACGATTTGAACGAGGTATGAACCTATTCAACGTAGATCTAGACTACCAATCTAAAGCCAAATTGACTAAACTTTCCACATGTATAAATGAACTATGGAAGCCCACTTTTAATGGAATTTGAACATTTAGAGACATGAAATTTTCTTTAAAAAAAAATCAGAATCCATTAGCAACCAAGATAGTTAATCCAAACCAGCGGTAGTACCTTCCCAAAGTAATGTAAATGTTGCTAATCTTCATTAAGAGCAAAACTTGCATGCCAAACTTATTTTCTAACAGTGAAGAAGAGGCAGATTCAAGTAGTCACCGGATAACACGCACTCCTATAGATTATAACATAAAAAAAAAACGAATTCGATCGAAGCCTATTACGTCAAGTTAATCTACATCAAGATTTCATGCCATCTAGCAACAACAGAAGAAAATATTCATAATTCTTAGAAAATAAACTCGATCGAACTAGACCCGAACAATGTCCAATAATAGAAGACAAGGTCAAATATTCAAAGGAGAAGGCTGAACCACGCCCCAAGACCATCATAAGGATTCCTAAAACAACCTCAAGACATACTTGGAAAATAAAATAAAATGAGCGACATCCTAAAGATTAATAAATGGATAACAAGAATTTTAAAGCAAGCATGACAACCAATAAATTCAGGAAGAACACAGACAACAGTATGAACTCAAATGAGCATTAAACCATCTAAAAAAAAACGAAGAACGAACAGTATCAAGGGACTATTGAGCCAATTTTATCACTGATTCACAGCCAACCAAGAGTCATAGACATCCCCAAATACTAACATGTAAACAACTTCACATAGTCGAGAATCAAGCAACAACACGTTAAGAGCAAAATATTTGAAGCAAAAATGAGTGTTACCTTCCAAAGTGCAGTGAACGGAGACGAAAACGAGCGAGGTAACAACGATTCCTCCACCAATCAGCGACGTAAAACCT